GAAGGTGTGTATTGGTTTTGTTGTGTGTGGAAGCCATACATGTGTATAGATATGTACAAAAATCAGTGCTAAGTGTGTATAATTGTTGGTGTGTGTGCATGCGTACATACATCTCGATGTGTATGTATACATGCGCGCATGTTCTCCTGTGCGAGTAGTTGTTGTTGTGTGTGTAGGCATACACATTCATGGATTCATGACTGCATTAACGGTTCAGCTTGGGGCTGATACTGTTCGAAAGCGTTCGCGGTATATTAGACATTCCTGAGTACATACCCACAGGTACAGAAATTCACATACATGAGTCCTTAGTATATTCTCTATTCTCACTCCAACGATGAAAAACTAAGATGGCAACAATGTAGAAACTTATACTTATATATTTTTTCGAAACACCTATTTTTCACCCATACACACCGGTAGCCCTCAATACACACCAGCTCACAAATCAAGTTTTTGAATATGAACAGGATGCCCTCAGGCTCCACTTATTCAACATCGACGCTAGCGATGTGAAAAGTCAATTCTAAATATCCGTCCATAAATCATGCGATCCATATATAACTCTAAAACTCTCATGTGCCCAGTCTCGTGGATCTAACTCTATCTCATGGTCCTATACTGTCCACTCCCTTTCCATTTATCAGAAAGCGGATGCCAGCGATGAGGAGATGGATACCGCCGAACCTGAGACAGAAGAGCAGGAAGAAGTGTTCCGTTTCTTCTACATGGACATAGTGGAAGAGCCGTATAAGAAGCCAGGCACAGTGTTTGTGATTGGCAAAGTGTGGAACCCCAGCACTGAGGAGTTTGAGAGCGCCTGCTGCACTGTGAGAGATATTGAACGCAATCTGTTTGTGCTGCCGAGGGATGTAGAAGTGGACAACAAGGGCAATGCGACAGATAGACAGGTGCGTGTGGATGTGTGTTCTGGAGTATACTAACAGACAGGCGGAGGAAGATGTTTGTCACTAGGTATGTAATCATGTGTATGTGTGTATGAAGTTATATCTACGTATTTTCATAGGCACTTTTCAGTGCTGAAACCGTTAGGCCGCCGCCAACTTTGGAATGTCCTTTAGACAATAGACAAGAAATTTTCGATACGATCCCTTGTTTGTAGCTGCCTATATCAGCATTGAAAAGCCTTCTATCACGATGTTTCACCTAAAGAATACGTAGCATGCCAGTGCCTCGACATTGCTTTCGTTCATGGGGTGCTGTTTTGGTTGACAAACGCGCTTGCACACTTGTCTGCAATCTCATACGTAACCACATTCGCACATCTACAAACTCACCCATGAATACACCTTTCCATTCTCGACTACATGCACAGGTGTATACCCACGAAGTAGAGATTCAGTTCATATGACTACTATTATACACGTGTCTAATATTCCAGTCCATACTCAACTAAAATTTTATGTCTATAACCCATCATATATCCAGGTGTCTTTCCAATCCGTTTACAAGGAATTTGATTCGGTAATGGAGCGATACGGCGTGCTCAAATGGGAGGCTAGCATGGTCACGCGTAGCTATGCCTTTGAGTATGCTGATGTGCCCTCATCAGCCGAGTATCTCAAAGTCAAAGTACGTTCTCGCGTTTGATATAGTATTTATATCGATTCTTTCGCGCGTGCGTTTTGATAAAATATCTGGGACTGTTTTAGACGTGACTTCGGTGGATGATGATTTCAAGTCGAGATCATTGTTCGTGCATGCATGTGATTATGTTAAACTGTATGGGTGCTGGTGCGTTTCTCAGGGGTGTGCGTGTATCTTACCTATACCATGGTCGAATTTTGTGTTTTCCAGTACATGCTGTCCTCGTTTGGTACTTGCTAAATGAACATTTAGAGACGTCGGGTGATGCATTGTAAGCGGCATACAGGTACAAGGATGTGAGGGTAGGAGATCAGGGTGGTTGTGTATGCTACACGGTCTTGTTGCAAGCGTACTTAGCTCAATGCTGACATGCAGAAAACCTGTATCTGTTTAAATAGAATGAAATATGAATGTGAATGAATCCGCGCATATCAATCCATCCTTTCGATATATGGTACTTACTTGTGTATATATGCTTGTATGCAGCCGTGTGCTTGGAAATTGTAAACCAAGAATATATTACTCCACCTGAAACCATGTGCTACATACTTATTAACATGTCCGTCCGCTCCGCTTTGCATCTGTACCATATCCAACAGTACCCCATGACGTCGCAGCAACTGCCCATGGATCTCAGCGGCCGCACATTTGCGCGAGTGTTTGGTACCAACACGAATGCTTCTGAGTTGTTCTTGCTCAAACGCAAACTGATGGGACCTTCGTGGCTTGACGTGAAGGGGTTTAAACGCTCGGGCTCTCGTAAGTACAGGCGCACGTGTATACAGTGTGTAAACTGTAGCTATATACACCTGGGGTTTTGCTGGGTATGCGAATCAGGAAGTTGCGTTTTGGTGCCTCGTGCCTGTTACCTCGTCTCTCCAGATACTGTGTGACGTGGCCAGTCACATGTGCGAAATGTGTGAGAATTAATTCGACTGAAGGTCACTGTTTCATCTCACAATACGCACCCAAGGCTGACTGAATTCAATTTCTCTTTAGAGCTGTCCTGGTGCAAGTGGGAAATCGAAGTCAACGGATACAAAAGCATAGCCAAAACTACAGATCCCCCGCCAGGTGTGTCACTGTTGCTAAGCGAGCTGTACATGCGACCAATAGTAGACTTTGAAGGGACGTTGTATATTGTTCTAGATCTGTGTTGCAGAGGCTGCGATTTTGCATTCCTTCTGTAGAGCGATAAATTTGGAGTGTTCTGACGTGCCCTGTGTACATCGCATGTAAGTTGTCACTGAGAGAATCTGAACATATATGTATGTATGTGCATGTATACATGTATGATTTATATAGAGAGTCCGATATGATTTGGGACGTGCCTGTATTGTTGATATGTGTCATGTATGTTTCACATATAGTACGATTTACATATCAAGTGGAATAAACTTCATTCATATTTGTATTTGCTTCTACGTATTATATCTATAGTACCATTTATACCCATGCTCACAACCTCGCACTTCCCCAAAATGCCCTATATTTTGTTTGATGCAAATATTCCTGAACCCTGTATCCTGACAATCTTGCATACAGTACTGACACTCACCTTTAAACCTTATGATGTGAACTACTGCTCTATGTTGTTTAATACGCTGGAAATTATACTTAACGCACTCTCGCGTACAAATCCTATGACTTGTACTATTGCTATCTGCTGTTTGATATCTATGATCCTTAATACTGCACTCACATCTCAATCCTATGACTTCGCCACTGCTGTCTGTGGTTTGATATCTATATTCCTAAGCCCTGCACCCTAACAGATATAGACAATGACCTCTCACTTTGAATAATCCCTATCTACCTTACTCTTGCATTTGGTAAACCCAACATACCGTACTCTCACATTTAATAAGCCGTGTATCTCCACCACTGCACAGTACCTGTGTGCCGGCTGGCGGCTATATCTCTCAAGACGGTGCTGAGCAAGAAGACGCACAAGCACGAGATTGTGGGTATCAGTGTCATCACACACAAGGCTGTCAACATTGAGGGACAGACCGAAAACCCCGAAGCCGATGTAAGTATATATGTCTGTGTAGCTTAGATGTGTAGATACGCTTACGTGTAGGCGTAGACACATAAGTAGTTGAAAAGATGTGAAGATGTTGCTGTATAATAATGTACCGTCTGTCGGTGGGTTTATGTGTATGGCTGTATTGAACCATATGCACGAAGCACAGGGCAGTAGTGTCATCACATACAAGGCTGTTCTGCTTGAAGTGCAGACACCGAACCCGAAGCTGACGCAAATTTATATGAATTATCTGTATATTAGTTAGGCAAAGTTTGCGTATAAGTCGTCATCATTTAGCGCCATACAGACAAATATTAAGAGTATGGACGTTCATATATAGAACACGCTCCTAACTTTGGAATTATTCTTTTGTTCTACGGCATTGGCTACATATTTCCGAAAAATCTTCTCTGCTACTTTCACAACCCCTTGATTATTGAAACACAAACTTCGCATCTTCTCACCAGTACATAACAAGCTCATCCTACGCACCCTAACATATATTACATACTTCCCAGTTTGAGTCATTCAGTGTCATCCGACCACTGGCCAATAGTCCCTTCCCCTTTGACTTTGAGAGCACCGTCAAGCAGCAGCAGCTCAACATAACCTGCGCCAAGTATGTCTGGTCTAAGAAAACTGTATGCCTATATCTTTATATCTTTTATTTGTGATTTGAGGACAATACGCTTTGTATGCATATACCGTTTTTTAGGGTATACATACTTATGTATTTACGTATTGCTTTTCATGTATTACTTTTTTTGTGTGCATATACATATATAGCTACATATACGTACATAGCAATCCATTTCGGCATATCATTCCGGGAGATTATTATCATGTGTACATATCTATGCGTACACTACCTTACATCTCATCTCTAGTGTATTGCCAGATGTAATTTCCTATACGTACACTATCTTCCGATTACCATAAGTACATTCTATCCTTGCACTCTCTTATGACTCTTTCTCATCATGCTACTCTCCTTCCCATTGCGCACAGTAACGAGCGTGCGTTGCTGAGTTTGTTCATCGCCAAGTTCCACAAACTCGATCCGGACTTCATAGTTGGTATGCACCTCACAGATAGTTGTTTTGAATACAGCTATTTCCTGGACCGTTACGTAGCCTATTTTTTAAAATATTACACCTATGCACGATTGTCTCTGCTAAAACGTATTGATCGTCCACACCACAATGTTATTTTCCCAGACCACAATCGATACACACACACACATATGCACACATTGTTCTATCTATCTGCTGGCCACTACCTGATTATCCTCGACCCGGACGTCCCCATATTCACAGTCCGCAATCAACTAACACACAAATACATCGTCCTATCTATCTGCAGGGCACAACCTGTTTAACTTCGATCTGGATATCCTATTACACCGCATGCAAGACTGCAAGGTGACACAATGGAGTAAAATGGGACGTATGCGCCGAACCGTCATGCCTAAGCTCAGTGGCGGCAACGACGGAGGGGGTAGTTATGGGGAAAAGCTGGTTATAGGTGGTAGGCTGGGTGTGTGTATGTGGACCTCTGCGCGTGAGCTGATTAAAGTTCAAACGTACTCGTTGGAGGAGCTGGCGTCGACCCAACTGGGTAAGGAGAGACATCGCTTGGAATTCGATCAGATCCCAAATATGTACGGCGCCACTACGGTATGTGTTGTGATGTGTTGTGTTGAATGTACGGAACGCTGTGACAATGTCGTGTTGTATGTAATGAGTGTAAAAAGTGTGGTCAATTGACTGTAGAAACTTGTGTTGTAAGATTCTTGTCAGATTATAATCGGATGAATATGCCGCTTAAATTACACAGTATAGTCACCATCGTGCTGATTTCCTTGTCATATGTAAATAGTGTAATTAATTGGCTGTAGAAACGCGTGTTGTAAGGTTCTTGTCGTATTTCAACCTGATGTTTATTTCAGGAGTGTATAATGGGCATGACTGTGCTAGAATAGATTTGTGTCCCACACAAAAAATAGGTAACATAGCTAAAGCTCGACCACTCACTCTGGCCCTGCGAGGGAAGTCCTTTGCAGCTGCCCTGGGTACTATTTGACTTCAGTGTGTGTCCATCCATACACAGGGGTATTATTTTGCTTCAGTTTGTGTTTTCCCATACCCGCACATTTAATCATATTAGTATGATAATCACGCTCTTTAGAATATTGATTTCACCGTTAGATCTTTCGTTCAACTCCACCAACGTTGGTGAAACTCATGCACCTCAGTTTGTGTTATTGTTGTCCATACCCAAACAATCACACCAACATCGTATCCCGTACTTTATTGTTTCAACATCTCACTGATATTCATCATATCTTTACCAAAACATGCACACCAACATAGTATCTACGTTCTTTATTATATCGACATCACCGATATCTTAACATTTCTTTCCACTCCACAGAATCTGGTGCAACTCATGCGCCACTGTGAGAATGACGCGTATCTGATTGTGTCGCTGATGTTTAAAATCATGTCCCTGCCCCTCAGTCGGCAAATCACCACCTTGGCAGGTAGGATCAGCCGTTGTTATTAGCCAGGGAGCGGTCGGATATCATGTAAATGCACTTTTGCATCCATCAATACCTAGACATGCATGCGAAGTCGCGTGGACGCATACAGCCTGTTCTGTTGTCATTCTTATTGAGTATACATTTAAGTTGGCTTGTTTGTGCGCCCATTTATGTTACGTTGTAATGTTGTTGCGTTGTAATGTTTAGATACACATGTATGTGGGCGTGTGCTCCTCTGTGTGTAAAATAGGTATAGGTGCGTTTGTGGAGTGCCGCAGACGTATTGAATGAGGCATTCCAAGTAGATAAACTTTTATGTCATTGCTCTGCAAGTGTATATAACTATTCATAGCCTGATTGCTCCATCAAATAGAAATATATATACGCACATGTCTTTCATTCCACACGTGTATATAATTACCCATAGCCCCCTATTGATCCAAATCGAAACATTGTTCATCTTTGTCTGATTGTCTTCTCCGTAAAATTGAATCTCCCCTCTTTACGTGAATTAAAACTTAACAACTCTCTCATACAACTGTGGCCACTTCTTCTATGAAATTGGTAAATTAATCATCGTCGTCCTTTTTTTTTACGAATACGAATACGTAACAACTCTATCAGGCAACCTATGGGCACGCACTTTGTCCGGTGGTCGTGCGGAGCGCAGCGAGTACCTTTTGCTGCACGAATTCCACGACCGCAAATATGTACTACCCGACAAGCACAAGAGTAAGAAGTGGACCAATAAAGAGGACGAGGTGAGACATATGTATACGTTTATATGTGTATATGTGTGTGTGGTTATCGTGAAGATGTAGCTTTTGTACATACTATCGGGCGATCAGAATGTAAGAAATGGATAGGAATGTATCCTTGTGTATAGACTATGTCAGGAGTATTTATCTGTCAAGATATCCCTGTTGTAGGAGTTATCTGACTATAAAAAGCAAAAAATTAACGAATGAAGGAAGGGTACAGACAATTTCATACGTTATTGTGTATGCCTGTGACTATCGCATATATGTCCTTGGTATGAATGCCCACGTACGAGTATACAAATATATGAGTACACGGGTAATTGTGCGCGACATATATCGCTACACATATACGGTCACACATATGACGTCAATCCGTATACAATTACGTTTATGTACGACAGTATTCATACGTATAAAGGAAAGATCTGATCCCGAATTTCGACTCCTCCACAGAATGAGGATGACAAGTCCAAAACCCATCCGAGGAGGAAAAAAGCTCAGTATGCGGGTGGGTTGGTACTTGAGCCCAGGAAAGGTTTCTACGATACATTCATTCTGTTGTTGGACTTCAACTCGCTGTATCCGTCAATTATCCAGGAGTACAATGTGTGCTTCACAACGGTTGCTAAGCCCACAACAGCCGAGGTGAGTGTGATTGTGACTTTAACTGTGGCTGTGTCTGTGACTGTGACTGCGACTGTGATTGTGAATGCGATTGTGCGAGATAGTGGGAGTGGGAGTGTGAGTTTATGATTCGAAAGCGATTGTAGCTGTGACTGTGAGAAGGAAGGGGGACAAGTGCGAGGCTGTGTATATGGACTTTGCACTCGGTCGTGTACTCATGTTGCCAATTCTAGTTGCTATTCTGTTTACAACTTGATGGAATAGAATCATCTAGCGGTGATGTTCATGTATATACCTAATTATACATAGATATCTTGTATTGCTCGATAACTCACGCAATGGTACATTCTTGCATTATTACTCATTTCCATATGTATATATATATATATATATTTATTTATATATACATATGCAGATGAAAAGACACATACATATACATCTATATATACATATTCAATACCGTATACATACGCATACATATTCAAATATTTATATACATACAGTCTCATTTACATATACATATACCTATACTTATACCTTATGTCGCACAACAGGAAGAAAATGCGATCCCGGATGTACCGGACTCGGGGCTGGAGCAAGGAGTACTGCCATATGTGCTCGCGACACTCATTGAGAGACGTAAACAGGTCAAGAACCTCATCAAGACGGAACGTAACAAAGCCAAGCTCACACAGGTATGTATTTTCCCAAATGTCTCGTATACATGGACATGTACATGTACATGTACGGACACGTATACATATACTTACGTTTGCATGCTTATACATATGTACAGTGGCTATCGGTTGCGATGCTGGTTGTGTATGCGAGTAGGATATTCAGATGACTCGGTATTGGGCTGCGCAGGTACATTAATGCCTACTTAGAAATATCACATTCATGCTGTATCCTCGCACGTTTATAGTCTTGCGCTCACCCAGAGTTTGTAGCAATGCAGTAGTCCGCCACACGCAACATTCCCTATAGAACATCGCGTGCATACATTATTTGATACATACTTATCTATAGTCTTGTATTGGCAACAAGTCACTGTTACGAGTTAATATGTATGAATACATGTCCGCAATCCCTGCTATTTACATGTACTTTTCAGTACAAATGTAAGATCCATCTACTGACACATAATCGCAATCCTTACTATATTCACAGCTCAGCATCCGCCAATCGGCGTTCTCTCAGCACAATAGCACAATCATACAAATGGACTGACCCATTCACTTATACTTTCTTATGATTGCCATCTATCTTCTATCTACAGCTCAACATCCGCCAATTGGCATTCAAGCTGACTGCCAATAGTATGTACGGTTGCCTGGGCTTCAGCCACTCGCGCTTCTACGCCAAGCCGCTTGCCGCACTGGTTACCAGCAAAGGCCGTGAGATTCTGGAGAATACAGGTAGGTGCTATGTAATGTTTGTGTATGTATATGTATATAGCCCCAGTTTGTAGGATGTGTATAGTATTAATATGTAAGCACAGTATATGTATTTTTTATAACGTCTCATTTTTACATCTTTGTATTATTGTTCGACTCTTACTTGGCAGTCACCTTGGCGCGGACATCGCTGAACCTGGATGTGATCTATGGAGACACTGATTCCATCATGGTCAACACCAACAAGAAAGATCTCAAGGAAGTCATGGAAATTGGGCGTAAGGTGTGCAAGGAAGTGAACAAGCTCTACCGTCTCTTGGAGATTGACATCGATGGCGTGTACAAGTCAATGCTGCTGCTGAAGAAGAAAAAGGTAGGCTCCATTATTATGCAGCGACTGTTGCTTTATACGTATGGGCCGCCCGACATGCGCTATTGAACACGTTGAAATTGTTCCACGTTTCTATTCCCACCTTTTTCTCCTCGTTTTTTCCACATAGAGAGCACCGGGAACGCTCTCAGGCACGCATTCAGTATAGATGAGACATTGCTAGTCCCCAATCTAGCACACGCTTGAATACACCACATAAACGCATAGTGACTGTTATGTTGCCTTTCTCGCTCTTCTACAGTATGCTGCACTGGCCATACACGAGAAGGACGGCAAGTTCACCACTGTACAAGAAACCAAGGTATAAAAAGCACTGCTCGTTTGGGTGTGGGTAATCGTATGTTGGGGTTCAATTTCGTTGACCGGAAACCCGCTTCAAAAATCTATTTGACTCGGAATCCGTGAGGATATCACGACTAGCCAATTCTTAACCGCCCTAAAAAACGAATCGCAGCAATTGGCTATGGCAATCTGAAAACCATTGGCTGTGATGCTGTTTTAGCTGAACAAGTGAGTCATTTGCACTTCCATTCCCTAAACACGTGTATCACTTCGCTTCCATTCGAATTTAGGGTCTTGATATTGTACGAAGAGACTGGTGTGGGCTCTCCCATGATGTCGGAAGGTGAGATGATGGGCAGTGTATTATAGATGGACGATTCTGTATTTCCTTAACCTGATGTCAATAGTTGATGTCCCAAACATGCCATCTCATATTCATGTGTTCAAGCTGACACCGTCATGGACCCATCCATAAATGCAGCATATATGAACTGAATTTTATTATTGTGATGTATGTATGTGCACTAGCAATACCCCATATCGCGAGTATCCGTTCCTACTGATCTCTC